CGCGGACCGGAAAGGAGCTCGGCCACGCTACAGCAGGGCAGGGGAGGTGAGGCACCCGTATCCCATATGTCGTAGGGTTTCTGACATACAGGGAGTGCAGAATTATTAGGCAAATTAGTATTTTGACCACATCATCCTCTTTATGCATGTTGTCTTACTCCAAGCTGTATAGGCTCGAAAGCCTACTACCAATTAAGCATATTAGGTGATGTGCATCTCTGTAATGAGAAGGGGTGTGGTCTAATGACATCAACACCCTATATCAGGTGTGCATAATTATTAGGCAACTTCCTTTCCTTTGGCAAAATGGGTCAAAAGAAGGACTTGACAGGCTCAGAAAAGTCAAAAATAGTGAGATATCTTGCAGAGGGATGCAGCACTCTTAAAATTGCAAAGCTTCTGAAGCGTGATCATCGAACAATCAAGCGTTTCATTCAAAATAGTCAACAGGGTCGCAAGAAGCGTGTGGAAAAACCAAGGCGCAAAATAACTGCCCATGAACTGAGAAAAGTCAAGCGTGCAGCTGCCACGATGCCACTTGCCACCAGTTTGGCCATATTTCAGAGCTGCAACATCACTGGAGTGCCCAAAAGCACAAGGTGTGCAATACTCAGAGACATGGCCAAGGTAAGAAAGGCTGAAAGACGACCACCACTGAACAAGACACACAAGCTGAAACGTCAAGACTGGGCCAAGAAATATCTCAAGACTGATTTTTCTAAGGTTTTATGGACTGATGAAATGAGAGTGAGTCTTGATGGGCCAGATGGATGGGCCCGTGGCTGGATTGGTAAAGGGCAGAGAGCTCCAGTCCGACTCAGACGCCAGCAAGGTGGAGGTGGAGTACTGGTTTGGGCTGGTATCATCAAAGATGAGCTTGTGGGGCCTTTTCGGGTTGAGGATGGAGTCAAGCTCAACTCCCAGTCCTACTGCCAGTTCCTGGAAGACACCTTCTTCAAGCAGTGGTACAGGAAGAAGTCTGCATCCTTCAAGAAAAACATGATTTTCATGCAGGACAATGCTCCATCACACGCGTCCAAGTACTCCACAGCGTGGCTGGCAAGAAAGGGTATAAAAGAAGAAAATCTAATGACATGGCCTCCTTGTTCACCTGATCTGAACCCCATTGAGAACCTGTGGTCCATCATCAAATGTGAGATTTACAAGGAGGGAAAACAGTACACCTCTCTGAACAGTGTTTGGGAGGCTGTGGTTGCTGCTGCACGCAATGTTGATGGTGAACAGATCAAAACACTGACAGAATCCATGGATGGCAGGCTTTTGAGTGTCCTTGCAAAGAAAGGTGGCTATATTGGTCACTGATTTGTTTTTGTTTTGTTTTTGAATGTCAGAAATGTATATTTGTGAATGTTGAGATGTTATATTGGTTTCACTGGTAATAATGAATAATTGAAATGGGTATATATTTGTTTTTTGTTAAGTTGCCTAATAATTATGCACAGTAATAGTCACCTGCCCACACAGATATCCCCCTAACATAGCTATAACTAAAAACAAACTAAAAACTACTTCCAAAAATATTCAGCTTTGATATTAATGAGTTTTTTGGGTTCATTGAGAACATGGTTGTTGTTCAATAATAAAATTAATCCTCAAAAATACAACTTGCCTAATAATTCTGCACTCCCTGTATAGACCCAGTCCACCCTGTCAAACGCTTTTTCTGCGTCGGTGGACAACAGGACCATTTCCTTTTTGCCTGTATTAGCAGTATGAATGGTGTTGAGGGCGCGAATAGTATTATCTCTGGCTTCTCTTCCGGGGATAAATCCGACCTGGTCCGGGTGTATCAGGTCTGGTAGCGTCCGAGCCATCCTGAGCGCCAATGCCTTAGCGAAGAGTTTGACGTCCGCGTTTAACAGAGACATGGGCCTGTAGCTGGCACAGTTTGTTGGATCTTTGCCCTCCTTGGGTATTATTGCGACTGTAGCTCCCAGGGTGTCTCTGGGGAATTGGCCTCCCTCTCTGATTGAGTTAACGCCTGTCAAGAGTTTGGGCAGCAGGGTGTCTTTGAAGGAGCGTAGGTACGAGACTGGTAGACCGTCAGGGCCCGGGGCCCTGTGCGCTTTAGTTGATTTCAGTGCGCCGGTTAGTTCCTCGATCGTCAAGGGCAGCTCGAGTTCTGCCTCCTGTTCTGGGGTGAGCTGTCGGGTGATGTGGCTCTGAAGGTATGTGACTATCCACTCTCGGTGGCTCCCTGTGTCTCTGTCTCGGTGGTGTCGTGATTGGTCATATAACGCCGCGTAGTATTCCCGAAACGCTGACAGAATGCCGTCTGGGAGTCTGGTTGTGTCTCCCCTGCTCGTGCGTACCTTGTGAACGTGTTGTGCTTTCCGTCTATCTTGTAGCATCCTAGCTAGCATCCTTCCACTTTTGTTCGAGTGTTCGTAATAATATCTGGATGCTTTCCTCGCGGTGTGCAAAATTCCTTGTGATAATATGGCTTTCAGCTCCCTTCGTGCTTCCGTCAGGCGGAGGTATGTGCTATCTGCGAGGTCCGTCTTGTGTTCCCCTTCTAGTTCAGCTATCCGATCTAGTAATGTTGTGATACGTCGTGTTCGGTCCTTTTTGCGTTTGGTGCTCATGGCGATGAAATGGCCCCGTATGACGCATTTGTGAGCTTCCCAAAGCGTTAATGGTGGCATCTCCGAGTCTTCGTTAGTTGGGAAATATTCGGTTAGAGTTTGGGCAGTCACCCTCTTACACTCTGCATCATCCAGTAAGGATTCATTCAGCTTCCAGTGCCTTTCGCGGGGTTTGTATAGTGGGGAGCTTGTGCGGATCAGCAGCGGTGCATGGTCTGTGTGGTCCATTATGCCTATTTGTGCTTCATGAAGAAGGTTGAGATATTCCTGAGCCAGGAATATATAGTCAATGCGACTGTAGTTTGTATGGACTGCCGAATAGTGGGTATAGTCCCTTTCTTCAGGGTTACATGCCCTCCAACAATCCACCAGGCCAAGTTTGTGTAGAGATCGTTGCGCTGCTCGTATGCAATGCGCAGGGATCGCAGTCTGCCCTCTGGAGGTGTCCGTGCGGGGGTCCAGAGGTAGGTTGAGGTCCCCTGCCACGACCAGGAGGCCGTCTCTGAACTTCTCCAATTTGGCTAGCGTCCGGGCCAGAAATGTGTGCTGTTTTCTATTCGGGCCGTAAAGGCATGCAAAGGTATACGTGTGTTCCATGATTGTGCCCTTAACAAAAAGGAATCTGCCGTTTGGATCTGTCTGCGTTGCTACGTGTTGGAACGGCGTCGTCTGTGCAAAGAGTATTGCTACACCAGCCTTCCGGATGATTCGCATAGAATCCTTGCGGGAAACGTCTGTTCTCTAGTTTGGGAGCGTCTACCCCCCGGAGATGCGTCTCCTGCAGGAACGCCACGGAAGCTCTTACAGCCCATAGGCGCCTTGCCAGGTGCGCGCGCTTTTCAGGCGTGTTAAGCCCCTGGACATTATTGGACCAATATGTCAGTTGAGCCAGGACAAATCCCCGTGAGGCCGCCATCTCGGCAGTAGGGCGGCGTCCCCGCGGTGTTGTCAGTATGGTGAGGTGATATGGCGGTGGGTGTGGGGGAGTCTGTCTGTCTGGAGTGGTGAAGTGTATGGTCTGGCGTATCTTCTGGGTGTGCAGGTGTGACTCCGACCCTGTACCGGGTGTGATCGTTCCCGAGCCTGGTGGGTTGTCTCAGCGTCGGGAACACCGGTTAAATGTACAGTGTGGGTCTGTCTCAGTGGGGTCCCGTACGGTCACTTACAGTGAAGTCGGTATCGGGTCTTGGTGAGGTTGGTACTCTTCCCTCTCCGTCGGCACCCAATCTGTGAGAGGTGTGTGCAGTCGCCTTGGTTGCGCGCTCTAGATTCGAGGTCCGCAGTAATCGCCTGGGACTTTAGTGTGCCGGTCGGGTTGTAGCGTCCTGTTCGGCTGTCCCATGGTCTAGGGGCGTTTGTGCATTCCGGTCCTGTTGGCGTTATGGTCAGTGTTACCTGTGGTTCCCTCTGTCCCGGTCGGCTCCCCTGTCGTCCCGATTCTAGTAACCGGGTGCTGTCTGGGAATTCAGCTAGGGTCGTCACCCGGGCACCTCGAATCACTCCGTCTCTGTCCCCTCCCGTGGGGCAGTTTGCGGTTGGTGGTCCATGAGTCGGCGTGTTCAGGGCGTGGAGCCGCTGCTTGGGGGTGGTCTATCCTACGTGTGTTGTGTCTCGTTGTGAGGTGGCTAGGTGGGCGTAGCGCGCTCGCTTCCATATTTGCGTCAGTTCAGTGTGTCTGGCTTGTAGTGTGGTCGCCCCCTGTGCCTGGAGTTGCCGGTATAAAATCCATCTGTATCCCTAGACTTACTTAGTAGGGCGTGTCTACGTGGCGTCTTACTAGTCTCAGGGCGGCAATTGTGTGCAGTTGTCCCCTAGTGTGAGTGGCTGTGGTATGTGTCGGGTGTTAAACAAGCAACCGTGTATAGGTAGAAACATGAGCAAAACGTGCCTAGACCTGGCCCAACTCCCCGCCCAGCCCTCGCCCTGTGTACCCGCATACCGTGCAGTCCTCGCCCTCCCACAGCCACCCCCCCGCCCTGTTCCGTGGGCTGCGGTGTGCTGGAGCAGTATGCTCGGTACAGCGTCCAAGGCTCAGGGTGTGACCTTGGTGGTGGTAACGATCCACAGTCTCCTTGTTTCCTGCCCATCGCCCCCTCCCCACCTGCAGGGTATTCCCCCCCTATTCCCCAGGTGTATGGGCTCACTGGTAGGAACTCATCTCCCGGCCGCTCCCAGATATTGGCATCGGTTCCCACCCCACCTATCTGCATTCTCCTTCCCTATCTTCTGGCTAATGCAATCTGGCAGCAATCAGGAAAGTACATACCCCTGCTGTGGTGTCGTTGGGTCACTGCGTGGCGTCCATAGGCAAAGCTGGGGGGAGGTCAGAGGGCACTGCACCGACCTGGCCTGAGATGTCCCAAGGGGCCACGGTTCGGTGCGGCGGGAAGGTCGTTATTCCTCTGGGCCTACCGGGCCTCCTCTGCGCCTTGGTGGTCCAGGCTCCAGGTGTATGTTGTGGGCCACTTCAGTTGGGCCTGTGGCTCGTGCTGGGGGTTCCTCCAGGATCCAGTTTGGCACAGTGACAGCAGGTAGATTGGCGGATCTTAAAAACCGTGGCACGTCGTTCGGCCAGCGTATGATGTGCCACACGTTTCCCACTCGGGCCTGCAGGCTAAATGGGAATCCCCATTTATATGGAATTCGCCGCTCCTGGAGTGCTCGGGTAAGTGGCCGCAAGGCTCTGCGGGCATCTAGGGTGATTGTGGATAAGTCCTGGTACAGGGAGATCTGGGCTTCCATGTATGTTATATGTTGCTGTGCACGTGCTGCCCGCATTATCGATTCCTTCAGTGGGAACGATAGGAGGGCACAAATCATGTCTCTCGGCAGACCATCCCTTCTGGGGGCGCGCAGTGCCCTGTGGGCCCTTTCGATGCCGAAGTCGCCAGGGGCTGCATCTCCCAGTATTTGCGCAAATAGGCCGGTCAGTAGTTCCTGCGGTACCTCGTCCTCAGATTCAGGCAGGCCCCTAACCCTGATGTTATTCCGCCGGCCGCGATTATCTAGGTCTTCAACCTGCCGGCGGAGGTCCAGGAGGATATTGCCTTGTCTTGTGGTCGCCAATTCAGATGCCTGTCGGTGCTGCTGGGTTTGTGGGCGTTCCGTCTCCAACTCATCAACCCGCTGCTCCAGGGCCGTGAGGTCGGTGCGAACAGCCGCAATTTCTTCCCTTATTATTGCCCTTAGTTCAGCCACCATTTCTCCTTTGTCCATCCGGGTCATCATACTTGCTGAGATCGCGGCAAGGTCTGCGGAGATTTGGGAAAGGGTGCCAGGTGTGCCGGAATCCCGTGCCGAGCCCGCTATGCTGGAGTCCGGGGAGTCAGGGGCCGATGCGCCAGCCTCGCCGGAGTCTCGGAGGCCATGCGGCGTGGCGAGGAACTCATCCATCGGGCCGGCTGGCTGCCATGAGGGGGCCGCAGTGACCTGGCTCACTGTAGGTAGCCTCTTGTTTTTCCCCCCCATGGGTGTGCGCTTGCTGCGGCGATACAGAGCTAATTTATCGGGGCTGCACAGGTTGGGGCCTAGGAGCTCGGATTGAGTGCGACCTACTCCATTAGCTGTCAGGCCACGCCCCAACTTAATAAATGAATGTTTATTATGAGCAAACATTAATCACAGTGCATATAAAATATATTATAAACAAATTATTTACACCAACAACAGATAAAAACAAAAAGGATAAAATACAGAAGTCCTAATTACTCGCTTAGGTTTTCAAAGTACAACTTCTGTCCAGGGGGTCTCTAGCAAGGAAAGATGGTGACTCACTCAAAATTAGATCTTGGCCCCAAGCAAGTACACAAACTCCCTTCAGGATCACAAGATATATATCCTGTGAATTTCCAAGCCTCACCCAGGGGTGGAGCAATAGGGACACTAAGTGACCACCTCCCTTGTTCCAGAAAACAACAAGCCACATACAAACTTTTGGTTTTATCTCCTCTACTGTACTTGCCACAGAAAGAATAATTGCCTCTATGAATTTGTTATTGTTTTCCCATTCCATAGACATGTTGCACGCCCCGCCGATGATCCAATATTACGGACATCACAATTCCTGCCACACGGTTTAAGTTGTGCAACTCATGTTTAGGCTTAATTAAGAGATTGGGCTTGTCCCATTCCAAATATAATAAAAATGAGGCTTAATTATTAACCTGTGGGTAAGTATTAATGTTTCACTTGGATAAAATACTGGAACACAAGTATCTTCATGAAACTAATCCCATTACCATCAAAGGATTGAACTATCCTTTACAAGGTACATGCCAAATGGATGAAGAGACATTCAGACTTTTTCCAAGTGTAGAACCCAGTGGCGAACTAAAGGGGGTGCGGGGGAGCGGTCCGCCCCGGGTGCCACCAGGGTGGAGGGTGCCATGACCAGCCCCGCCGCCCCCCCCCCATGCTGCAGCCGCCCGAGCGCTCTGTAGAGAGCCTCAGGCGGCTGCAGCTTTGCCCGGGCGGTGCGTCCATGAGGGCGGACCGCACCGCCCGGGTGCAGCCTGAGGAGACGGGCTTACATGAGGGAAGCTCTCAGCGCTCAGCGCTCCCTCCTGTCACTCCCTCTGTTGTAGCGTGGCCGAGCCCTGCAGCATGATGGTCCGACGGGTACAGGGAGCATCTGTCTCCTGTACCCGGCCGGACTAACAGGAAGTGCACACAGAGTGAGCACTTCCTGTTAGTCCGGCCGGGTACAGGAAACAAAGCAACCTGTACCCTGACTATACAGGGCTCGCCACGCTACAACAAAGGTGGGGGGGTAGGTGAGAAAGAGAAATTAGGAGGGGGGATGAGAAAGAGAAATTAGGAGGGGGGGTGAGAAAGAGAAATTAGGAGTGAGAAAGAGAAATTAGGGGTGAGAAAGAGAAATTAGATGGGGGTGAGAAAGAGAAATTGGGGGGAGTGAAAAGGAGAGAGAGAAAGAAGGGGGAGAAAGAGAAAGAAGGGAGGGAGTGAGAAAGAGAAAGAAGGGGGGGTGAGAAAGAGAAAGAAGGGGGGTGAGAAATTAGATGGGGGGGTGAGAAAGAGAAATTGGAGTGGGAGGAGAGATTGACATTCATCACATACACACAATGCACCCCTTGCACACAGAAAAACACACAATGCATTACACACACAGACACACATACACAAGCAATGCAACCGTTACACACAATGCATCCCTTACACACACAGAAACACACAATGCATTCATTACACACACTCAATGCACCCCTTACACACATTCAATGCATCCCATACATACACAGAAACACATCTTGCAGCCCTTACACATACAAACACAATTTCACACAATGCATTCCTTACACACATATCAGGACATCCCCTACACACTCCACCCCTGTGAACAAACTCATTGGTGGAACATGAAGGTGGACCCTGGGACCCAGACCTTGAGCTGTGTAAAGGACCCCCAAAAAATGGAGCTGCTTCCCGTTCTCCCAGAACATTGATTTTTGTGACCACAGTTACAAACCGCCTCCAGAGAGCCTGTTCTGCACCAGACCAGTGGAGCCAGACTGCAGCTAGAGCCCATCATCATCCTCATCTGGTTGTAAGTAGGCAATCCAGTATATTATTCGTGGCACTAAGCTCTAATTTACCTCACATTAAAGAAACACTATAGTCCCCAGAACCACTTCAGCTTAATGTAGTGGTTCTGGTGTGTATAGCCTGTTCCTGCAGGCCTTTTAATGTAAACACGGCGGCACTGCAGCACTGGCGTTAGTTAACATGGCAAATCATATGGGTGGGGCATTGTGATGTCACATGGGGGGCGGCAAACTTTACTTTTGCCTAGGGCGGCAAAAATCCTTGCACCTGCTCTGGCTGGAGGGGGCTGTGTGAGCTGTGGCCGCACAGTGTCCCATGGTAGTTAGGGTGCCGTGCGGCCTGTACAGCTTACACAAGCAAACAACTGATAAACTGGCCGCACAGAGGAAATGTGTATGTGTGACTGTCTGCCTGTGACTGTGTGTGACTGTCTGCCTGTAACTGAGTGTGTGACTGTCTGTCTGTAACTGAGTGTGTGACTGTCTGCCTGTAAATGTGTGTGTGGGGCTGCAGGGATTTTGTATTGGGACAGGAGTCTATAAGGGGGGATAAGCAGGAGATTTGTGGAAGGGGGTTGCGGGGGTTTTGTAGACGGGGCAGTACAGGATTTGTAGAAGGGGCAGGACAGAGGTTTTGTAGGAGGGGCGGGGCAGGACAAGGGTTTTGTAGGAGGGGCTGACAGCGGTTTTGCAAAGTTTACAAATTGTAAAAAAAATAGAAAGAAAACCTTTAACATTTATTTATTTTTTTGGGTGGGGGGGGGGGTGCCAAGCATCCGCCCCGGGTGCCAAATGCTCTAGGTACACCCCTGGTAGAACCTCACACCTTGCAGATCCTTGATTACTTCACACCCATATAGTAAAATCCTTTTCACATTCCTAGGCCATTCATACTACCCCTTCTGTCATCTGACCTCTGTGGGGGTCCCAGCTTCAAAAGATGTAACCCCTGTTGACCTCAGCAATAGCATCTCTGTAATTTGTGCCATTTACTACACAAATGACATTAAAGGATGATATTCCATAGTGTAATAATAAATTATACACCCTTGCCATGACAGTTATTACATTTTTTTTTAAATTGCTTAGCTATTGCTTTAAATTCCTTTTATGGTACAACCTGTAAACTATAACAAGCGAAGATTAAGAATAAGTGCAATCTGTTTGCCAACTCCTTAGTAGCTTCGTATATATGTTTTCTCTGCTTTAAAAGTAACTCAAGAATTGTAACGCTGGCGATACCACCAAAACATCTTGTCACCCAACAGACGTGTGAATTAGTGATTTACAAGGCCTGATAAATAATGTAAGTGAACAGTCATCGCTGTAAAACAAAAGACCTTGAGGCTGTAGGACACCCTGACAGCTTGTGGCAGGATTAATGTATTACTGGATTATATAAACTGCTAAGAAGTGACAGGTGACGTCAGAGCACTTTGTAGAGAAAAAGCAATTACATGACAGCAGTAATTAATCCAGCTGGATGATATACCAATTAGAATAGTTTCACTAGGCAACAAAGTGTGTATTTAAACTGAGGTTTCCTCCTGTGATGTCTGCAGACATGTGGTTACACAGGGAAGCAGTGGCAAATTTAGTTTCTTTCCTATAACACATTCATTGCTGGGGAGTGAGAAAAACATTGAATAATTCAGAAAGGGTTTATTTGCTAAACAGCGAGGGATGGTGAATTGTAAACCAAATTGCAAAATGTATCACAAAATAGCTCATCTGAACAACTTTAACAAACCGGGGTATAACTGCAGTTTAGCTACTTTAGCAGGGACTTTGCAATTTAGTTTACAATTATAATTCACCAATAATTGGTGTTTGATCACTAAACCCTTTCCAAGAGATTTGTTAATTAATTAAACTGTCAGGGTTATTTACCAAACTATGAATTTAAAGTCAGTTTCACATTTTAAACCAAAAATGGCCGAACTAAAGACATAGCTGACCGGAATTATATCAATTTGGCTATTTTGGACCTAAAACATTTACTTTGAATTATTATGAAATTCCCAGTAACAATAATTACACTTTAGTGAAACACAGTCTAAATTGTCAACAAAAGAACTCAATTTAAAAAATGTCCAACTCACACATTTAGAAGTTTGTTTCCTTTCTCTAGTTGCAAACAATTCATTGAAACCCACATTTATTCACTAAACCAGAAACGGTGCAGAATTGATGTAAGGACTGTACATTTCAGGCTAAAATAGAGCAGCTAGAAAAATAAGATGTTGAAGATTTTTTTTTTCAATCCAACAGTTTTGTGTTAATGTTTGCAATTTCCATGTGAGTTCTAGGCAATTCCTTGGTTAGGGAATAATTCTTAGAGGAATGTAGTATTTTAAAGAACTATCTTTACTTAACTCCAGCAGCAAAGACATTTTTTCAATAAAGTTTAGTGAATAAAAGACAAAAAACAGAGTAATTGAATTGGAACACTCGCTAGCCAATCAGAATCCGGCATAGTCTATAGTGAATGCTCCCCTATATTCTTCCTCTTTCTTTGCTGCTCCAGTAGAGATAAGTATCATCTATATTCACTTATGCTACTGTTTTCTGTATGAATACCTTCTAGTCTGATTAAATATATTTGTATATATATTTATTCCTTTATGTTAATTCTTTTCTGAAGTAATTTTATTAATTTTTCTCATTATTTTAAAAAATATATATATATTTGGTTCCCAACACACTGGCATTCGCGCCTTTTTATCCGAAGTGAGTTCAGGATTCGTCCACATTTGGTAGTTTTCATACGAATTGTTACTTTTCAGTTATTTCGAATGACTCGCATTCTGTAGTTTTCTCGCAATTTGCGGCCATTCGTTTTTTTTGTATGAGTTTATTATACTCGAGTTCGCAGGGTTTGTGTACGAACGTGTATTTCACAGTTTA